GGAGAAACGGTCCCTTAAGGCCAATAATCTTAGGCGGCGATCTTCACGGTTTGTTGTTCTACGGCGGCGTCCAGTGCCCCTTGCTCTTTGCGTACGGCCTTCTCGAAGCCATGCCTGACAACACCTAACCACAGTGTCTACACTTCTTTGCACTCTTAACTGCAATTGCTCGAAAAGTCCAGCTTCCCGAAGTCCCACTATACGGCCCCTATCAAACTCACTAAGTTGATGAAATCGTACAGGTCTCCGTACTCTAGGCATCGTAACCGATCGTAAAGGATGTTAAGAACCAAAATCCGCCAACGTTGATTCTTTACTGCGGCTGAAATATTAATTTTTAGAGCGTTGGTGAATTAAAAAAAAGCAGTATAAAAACCGGAATGTCTAACTGATAATGCTGAAAATTTTTTCACTTGTTATTTACAGTAAGATAAATACATTCACCAACTTTTATTAAAATAAAACCATTTAAACTGGGTGTTCGGATTTATATGTCACTTAGTATATCTAATTTTTTGATACCTCAATCACAAAATTAGAAAAGACGTAGAAAATGTTTTTTTTTTGCATTGGAGCTAGGTGTTCACGCAGCCAGTCACTGGGCATTATACGATTGATGGATCATCGGTTTGATTTTGAATTTTGAATCCGTCTTTACATAGTGGTATGATGCTATGGAGCTTGACAGAAGACACTTCTTCTAACACGCCTCGAAATCTCTAATCTTTGGATATTTTATACATTTATACGAGTATAACATAATCACTACGAATTCATGTAGGATGATCTTAGGATCAAGATTCCAAATTCCCGATATAAACAGTTTGGATCATCCTCTTAACATGATGAGCCGATTCTCCAAAAGAGTAGGGTTAGATTAAAATTTGGATTTGTCTTTGCATATATAAACACTTTGATCTGACTCTACAAACTCTGTGGGCAACTTCACACTAAAAGTAGATGATCCTAGGTCCAATCCGCTACAATATAAGATTACCTAAATCTTAAATAAATATTAATCCTATTCGATATAAGCGTAGTAAATATGAACCATAATACATTATACAGATGTTTTAAAAAAATGACGTTAGCAAACGCTTGTTTCATATCTTTCACAATCTTTAGGAAATACATACTTCATTCTCTGTTTGTTTTTATCTAAAAGTACTTTCGTACAAGCTATTTGTTTATACATTATTTTATTATGTATTACAAGACGTATTTGCCCATCTACGCAACATGATACATATGTCAAATGATTAGAATTCATTTTCCCAAATACGGCCACGTGCAGCGAGTAAAATTAGTTTACGTTTATCTAGTGACCTCTGGTCGAGATAAGCGGCGTATGGATTAATCAAAAACTGAAGTATATGCTGCACTTGAGTGAAGATAAGTTATGAATTATAGGGTATCATGTTGAAAAAGGCATGCATTTATTCAAAATAATCCGAGCTCTCCAACAACGAATTTCGGACAGTTCCTCAGGGTTATCACGTAAAAACCTATACAGGGTGCTCCTTAATGATATGCGAAGAGTGTGAAATGTTTCCTTCCTCGGGGTGTTGAAGTTTTAGGAAAAAAATGGAAATTAATATTTTGAGAAACGCTTCAGATATTTCACTGATATTTTTTGCAAAAACAATTGGCGTACCATTTTTTTCTTAAAAAATATCGAAGTCAATACCCGTACGCACGCCACTGTTAAAGCTAAAAATTATTTTTGCATTGAAAAATATGCAACTTTATTAACTTTCACTAAGTACTAAATATCAGTGAAATATCTGAAGCGGTTCTAAAAATATTAATTAATTTCCATTTTTTCCTAAAACTTCAACATCCCGAGTTTTTGTAAGGAAACATATTTGGACCATAGTTTATAAAGCAAACTACCATTAATTTTTCATTTCGATTCACACCCTTAAATATTCGCGTATCATTAAGGAACACCCTGTATAATGTACAGAAAAAACGACATAATGTCACTTTCAAAGATACACCTCTGCGGAGCGGATATTTCCAAGGGAACAGATCAATTCAGCTCGTAGCTAGGCAACATCATATAATTAATTTGTACGGATGACTGTATTTGATAGTCCCCGACATTCTTTGTTGGAAATAACCGAATGAAATATTCACAAAGCACTCCAATTTCAGGTAGTGTTTCTAGATAGTTAGACCTGAATATTGTGTATCTTCACATTTATTGTACACTTCGTCAAACGATATAAAGGGTATTACACAATATTTCCAGAAAAGTTCACACCATTCACTTTTGACGCGGAAAACAATATTTGCAAATTTGAAACAAATCGAATCTTTCTCTCTCTCTCAGATTGTTTTTAAAAACTCGCGTCCATCCGAAAAATGGTATACAAGTTACTACGTCGTACGGTGGTACCGTGGTGTGTGTCTACGAGACGAAGTGGTGTAACTACAAAGCGATTGGAGATACCTTAGCAATCCGGTTTGTTTCATTTGAACGCCGCCAGATGGGGCATCAAGCAACTTGGAAGGACAAAGTCACAGTGGCGCCGTCAAAGGATTCAATTCGCCTCTAACAGTCGATCTTGAAAGTTGGTTGACAGCTGGTGCTATACAGGGTGATTCAGTTTATTGTTGCATAACTTTAAGATTCGATAGAACTTTTAAAATTAATGCATAAAGTCTATATAAACATGGGTCGAAAAAGGCGTGGCTTCCGAAATACAGGGTGTTTCAAGTTACTTTCTAAAATAGTTTTTTTTAAATATTTCGAACAATATTTGATGTATAACAGTGAAAATTGGTATACAAGGGTTTTTTGGTACGACAAAACGAACTATGGGCATAGTTTTACTGTAGCCGCTAGAGGTCGCTCTCTACTGTACCTGTAGTATATTAAAATGACCGAAAAATTTTTCTTAGTGCAATTTTTTGCTTTTTGAATAAAAAAACTGATTCTTCGCACATTTCAACATAAAAAGCTCTCTTGTGAATTTTCGTTATAGTTAGCCGTTTTTGAGATATTTCGATTTTTAAGGTTCGATGCATTTTTAATTATTTATGATAAAATAACGTTAAAAAGTTAGTATCTCGATAATTTTTAGAAGTAGGCTGTACCTGCAAATATTTTTGAAATTGAAAGCAGAATAAGGTTAAACGTTAATTAGTTGACAGATAGTTTTGTTGTCTGTTGAAACCTGAAACGTTTTTTTGCAATTGTGAATGCACGAAATTTAGTTTCTTTTACCTGCTTTTTTTGTAAGTTTTATAAAAATGCCATTTTTATTTTCCAATCAAGAGTTGGCGGATATTCATTTTGTGTATGGCTTTGTAAATGGAAACGCAGCAGAAGCAGCCAGAGAATACGCACGAAGATTTCCAAACAGACGACATCCAACTCGCTATAATTGAATTGAAAATGGTTTTGGAAATCTCCAAAGGGATCAAAACATAAATGTTCGTCAGCACAGATTTACCCGTATGATTCTGCGTGAGTTTGGTAGAGATCCGACCACAAGTGTTAGGAGAGTTTCTGGTGCCTTGAGAATTTCAGCAAGCCATGTTCACCGTGTTCTTAGAAATGACCATAGATGTCCTTACCATTTGCAACCTGTGCAAGGACTACAGCCAGGGGACGGAGAACGAAGAATTACATTTTGTCAGTGGATTCTTCATAGAACTGATAATAATAGGGAGTTTTTAAGTAACGTTTTATGGACCGATGAGTCATGCTTCACTAGACGTGGAGTGGTAAATTTTCATAATCAACATATTTGGTCGCATGAAAATCCGCATGCAGTTCGGGAAATAAATTTTCAGCATGAATTTAGTGTGAACGTGTGGATTGGTATCTACCGTAATCGACTATTTGGACCCTACCTTTTGCCTGCAAGGTTAAATGCTGCGACCTTCTTGGAATTTTTAAAGGCTGAACATGCAAATATGTGGGATGATGTTATGTTAGATTTAAGAAGATTGGCCTGGTTCCAGCTTGATGGTTGTCCAGCTCATTATTCGAGAATAGTTAGAAACTGGCTGGACGAAAATTATCCAGAAAGATGGATCGGCCCTGGACGACCAGTCGCCTGGCCTCCACGATCCCCTGACCTAAATCCATTAGATTTCTTTGTGTGGGGATTTCTAAAAGAAAAAGTGTACCAGACTCCCGTAACCACAAGAGATATGCTAATTGACAGAATCAGGAATGCATGTGATGAAATAAGGCCTTATTTGAATAATGCTATACCACGTTCGATCATTCGTAGATGTGAATTGTGTATTGAACAATTGGGTTTACAGTTCGAGCAACTACTTTAGATTTTGTATGTTTGTCCTAACTATCCAATAGCATTTTAGTTGTAAATAATTAATTTAATTTGTTGAAAATAATATTGGAAAATTAAGCAAATTAATATTCTGTTTTTTGTGTTTATTTGGAGTTAGGAATTATTGCTGTGTTTAAAAACACAATCTAAACGATCATCTTAATTACTTGTAATGCCCAAATCGAAAATGTAAAAAAAATATTATTTTCCCATAAATAATTAAAAATGCATCGAACCTTAAAAATCGAAATATCTCAAAAACGGCTAACTATAACGAAAACTCACAGGACCGCTTTTTTATGTTGAAAAGTGCGAAGAATCAGTTTTTTTACTCAAAAAGCAAAAAATTGCACTAAGAAAAATTTTTCGGTCATTTTAATACACTACAGGTACAGTAGAGAGCGCCCTCTAGCGGCTACAGTAAAACTATGCCCATGGTTCGTTTTGCCGTACCAAAAAACCCTTGTATACCAATTTTCACTGTTAAACATCAAATATTGTTCGAAATATTTGAAAAAAACTATTTTAGAAAGTAAATTTAAACACCCTGTATTTCGGAAGCAAAGCATTTTTCGACCCATGTTTATATAGACTTTATGCATTAATTTTAACAGTTCTATCGAATCTTAAAGTTATGCAACAATAAACTGAAACACCCTGTAGACTAATCGTTTATGTCGGGTCTACGGAATGGAGGAAGCCCCTTTTTCCTTTCTCTCAATTTGTCGTTTAACTAAAAATTCTTTTTTTCTCCCAACAGAAGAACTGTGCCAATGTCCCCACAAATGCGACGCGAGCGTCCCGTTGGAGGCGCGCCGTCGTCTTTTCGAACACTTCTACGGCCTCGGGGAGGCCGACCTGCAGAACCAGTTCCTGCGCAAGCACATGGACCTCAGAGCGAGGTTGAACGCCCCCACGCCGCCGCTGTCCTGCAGCTCGCCCGACGGAGGCGGAGGAAGCGGAAGACCGCCTCGTCGCATCACCTGCAAGTACCTGGTGCCGTTGCTACCCTCCGACGATACCGTCGAGGTGTGTCAGAAGGCGTTCGTCAGCGCTTTCGTCATCACGACCAAGAGGGTCAGGCTGCAAAGGGAGAAGCTGATTGCTAGTTTGGGGTTGAACAGCTACAGCAGTCATAACAGGTACTGGATGTTCTTTATAATAATAGCTTTTATTCAAATTGCTTTGCGGATATGGAACGTCAACAGGAAAATTTCGGGGTGTTTTCAAAGTAAAATCATACATTTTAACAGCTTGTCAAAACAAGTTGATATACCAAAAATCATCTATATAAAAGTTACATAATAAGAGAGTTAGTTAACGATGCTTCGCTAGTGCATTCATTTTCCTGGATGTTTAGTTTTATCTCGTACAAAGGCCGTTTATAAAATTGTCGATGTGGGAACTGTAGAAGATCTAGAGTCTCTTGTAGAGCAAAGTAAGGTTGAAGTGGGGAACTTGTTTTTTGACATTGCGGTACTTGAAATTTCTTACCAATTTTTGTTTTGTTATTCGCTGCTAGTTTAAGGCACTTCGTTATTACAATCGTTGTTGTTTCTAAAAAGTCCCAACTTGCAGAATACCTTGTATAGCGCCATCTGTAGATTTTTCTAGAATATTTCATAGCAAAGTACAAAAACACTTCACGCTGAAGAAAATTTTAGTTTATTCCCATTTTTTTGATAAACCAAACTTAATTTTTTAAATAAACAAGAGATGGTAAAGTCGCGAAATCAGATAGTCACTATGAAGTATAACTTATCTATAGTAAATATACTAAGTGACATATAAATCCGAACACCCAGTTTAAATGGTTTTATTTTAATAAAATTTTGTATAAGTACTTAATGAAGCATAATAAGTAAATGATAAAAATTTCAAAATGATTGCACTGCTTTAAAGCCCGTTGACCTTTAATAATGTGTGGATGCACCCTGATGTGCTACGCATTCTCCAACGCGCCTAGGCATGCTTCTGATCAGGTGGTCAATGTTCTCCTGTGGTATCTCATTCCAGGCAACCACCAACCCCTCTCGAAGTGCTTCTAGAGTCTGAGGAGGACGTTGCAAATTGAGCAATCTCCTACCCATCATATCCCACACGTGCTCAATTGGGGATAAGTCGGGAGATCTTGGTGGCCATGGTAACAATCATTATGTTGAAAGAAGTCTATTGTGACTCTTGCAACATGTGGTCGGGCATTATCTTGTTGGAAAGTTGGATCTGCTAGGGTGTCAAGATAGGGTAAAAGATGGGGTTCTAGAACTTCGTGGATATAACGCTGCGCGTTCATGTTACCTCTGATGAAGATTAAAGGTGACCTGGAACCATAAGCTATAGCACCCCAAACCATAACTCCAACAGTGTGATGAACATGTCTTTCAACAAAAAGCTGTGGATTCCTCCTTTCACCATGTCGCCTTCTAACCCTGGCACGACCATCGTGCATGCCTAAACAAAATCGAGACTCGTCACTAAAGACAATACTGTTCCATTCCTGATCCCAGAGTGACCGTTGTCTGCACCACTCAAGGCGATTACGTCGGTGTTCTCGAGTTAAAGGAGGACCCAGTGTGGCCGGTACGAAAACAAGCCAAAACTTCTCATTCGTCGGTAAACACTTCGCATGCCAATAGGTCTTCCGTGTTCTGCAAACCATTCATTTGCAATGGACCTGGTAGTGGAGAAACGGTCCCTTAAGGCCAATAATCTTAGGCGGCGATCTTCACGGTCTGTTGTTCTACGGCGGCGTCCAGTGCCCCTTGCTCTTTGCGTACGGCCTTCTCGAAGCCATGCCTGACAACACCTAACCACAGTGTCTAAACTTCTTTGCACTCTAACTGCAATTGCCCGAAAAGAAAGTCCAGCTTCCCGAAGTCCTACTATACGGCCCCTATCAAACTCACTAAGTTGACGAAATCGTACGGGTCTCCGTACTCTAGGCATCGTAACCGATCGTAAAGGATGTCAAGAACCAAAATCCGCCAACGTTGATTCTTTACTGCGGCTGAAATATTCATTTTTAGAGCGTTAGTGAATTAAAAAAAAGCAGTATAAAAACCGGAATGTCCAACTGATAAGGCTGAAAATTTGTTCACTTGTTATTTACAGTAAGATAAATACATTCACCAACTTTTATTAAAATAAAATCATTTAAACTGGGTGTTCGGATTTATATGTCACTTAGTATATAAACAGAAACTAAATCAGGTGTGAAGCATAATGACATAAAATTATGTTTAACGATATTTTGCGAGTGCATTCATTTTCCTAGACGTTTAATTTTATCTCGTACAAAGGCCGTTTATAAAATTGTCGATGTGGGAACAGTAGAATATCTAGAGTCTCTTGTAGAGCAAACTAAGGATGAAGTGAGGAACTTGTTTTTTGACATTGCGGTACTTGGAATTTCTTACCAGTTTTTCTTTCATTATTCGCTGTTAGTTTAAAGCACTTTGTTATGACAACAGTTTTTGTTTCTGTTTCCAGAATACCTTGTATAGCGCCAGCTTTTCTATACTTTTCGAAAATGCTTAATACCAAGGTGTAAAAACTCGCTAGAGCAAATTTTTAGTTTATTCCATTTTTTATATTAAAGCTAAATGTTAAATATATTTGTAGGAGTAAGAATAACAATAACAATCCAGCAACAGCAAACAACAACAAACTACCAGTTACCTCTGCTATCTGTGAGACCAACAATAATTCAGTATTGTCCAAGAAGTCCAGCAAACTGAATCTCCAACTGTATTCTGCGACACAGTCATGTGATGAAGCCATGGACCTGAGCAGTACATCAGAATCAAGGAAATCTGATGAGATACTGCGAGCTGCCATGTCAGCTGGTAAGAGCTACTACATCATAATCATTTTGATAAAGTAATTTATTATTCAAGTCATCTTGGTCACTGCCAAATATGTATGTTTTAGCGTTATGATGTCTTAGGTCTCAGATAGAGAATAAAATCGTTAAGCCTACCAAAGGCGACCATCGTACATGACCAATATTGATCGCAAAATTAGCATGTGTAATATACAAACTCGTTTTGTTTAGTATATTAGTACGAATATCGCTTTTATTTCAAAATGGAAATACAATCTTTAGACACATACTGAAATATCAAGGTTATCAGAATCACCAAAAAATATTGTCAACAAAATACTCAATTTTAATATCATCACATCGACATTGGACCACGTAATTAATATTCAACCTACTTTTCGTTATTAGAATCATCCTTTGCATGCAAGCGTGCCTTTGTGTGATAATAAAAATACGTAATGTAGTCAGACAGATGCAAGTCACGTTCAAAGGACCCAACCGTGCGATTGTAAACAAGACGCTAGCATTGCAGATCTTGAAAATACATATTTGTTTGTTGAATTGATTAGAAGTGTAAATTTTAACCAGACAAACAGCTGATATATTTACTTTAGATTGCATTGTATTTGCAAGTACCAATAAGTTGATTATACCATTCAACCACCGTCAGTATCGCTATATCGGGAGATGAAACGACAGAAAAGTTTGAATCTCGAATAGTTGTGTATTTCTGTATGTTTCATATAGCTTATTTGGCCGAAACGAAAAGTTCCATAGGATAAGTAGAATAATTTACCACCTGTCTGAGGCTTGAAGGTCTTTTAGATTTTCTATTCGTCATGATATATATGTATATACAGGGTGGCCCATCGATGTGTGGACGGAATATTACTCAAAAAACAAATACATTTTGGGAAAATCTATTTATGGGCTGTTATACATGACATTTGAGGACACATTTCTAAAATATTGGCCATTATACAGGGTGTCCCAATATCGACCTACATATCAAAGCTGTGATTTTTCAAATGGAATGCCTCAAATTTTATTGCATATTTGGATAAACCAATTCAAATGAAGAAAATTGATATAAGATACTATGGGGTTTCGGTAATTAGCTACTGGGATATGAGGTGTTTTGTCTAGAAAAACCCCAAATTCGACAACCCCTCAATCCGTCATTTTGAAACTTGGAGTGCTAAATTTTGTATCAAAAACTTACACACCTCAGCTTTTACCTTATGTGTTAATTTTTTCGAATTTTCATTTTTGCTCATACAGGGTGGTCAAAAAGGCGAATTACACTATTTCTCAAAAATTCCAAATGCATCACCCTGTATATTTGTGCAAATTTGTATTCGATTTTTTATAAAAACCCCATAGAATGTTATATCAATCTTCTTCTTTTGAATTGGCTTATCCAGATATGCAATAAAATTTGAGGCATCCTATTTAAAAAAAATCAGAACTTTGATGTGTATGTCAAAATTGGGACACCCTGTATAATTGCCAATATTTTAGAAATGTGCCCTGAAATGTCATGTATAACACGCCTTAAATAGATTTTCCCAAAATGTATTTGTTTATTAGTAATATTCCGTCCACACATGGATGGGCCAGCCTGTATATACAGGGTGTCCGCAAAGTTGGGGTTTTCCTTTTCAGAAACAATTACCCTTGAAATAACAAAGGTAATGTGTAGTGAAACGAGGGCGACCAAGTAAAAAAAATAAAGGAAAAAGTACTCACTCTCCAGTTAACGAGAAGGGCTAAGTACGTCTCTGCCTGAAATCATACCGCTCCAACAGAAAATGAAATCAGCTCATGCGCTACCGAGCACACGCCGGCGGTGGTGCAGACCAAACAAATAAGACGGCGTTGCCGCGTTTTCAGTTTTTAGGTAAACGTACTTTATAGGTATTGTTCGAAGTTATCGCCGTTTGATTCAAAAACACAGGTGCGTACACGACGTAGCCAAGCATCGGTGCAGGCTTTGAGAACGGAGTCCCTCCCCCGAATGAAAGCACCAGCTTGTTCAATTTCTGAGACGAAGTTCGTCAACCGTATGCACTTCAGTTCTGTACACTAAGAAAAAAATCACATGGTGTTAAGTCTGGAGATCGCCGAGGCCACGCTACGGGTGCATTACGTCCGATCCACCTATTCGTAAATAATTCATTCAAAAACTCACGCACTTCGCATCTAAAATGGGGCGGTGCACCATCGTGCAGAAACCACATTGATTGTCTTACACTTAATGGAACATCTTCTAACAAGGAAGGCAAAATGTTGCGTAATTGCGTGCGGATTTTCTACTGACCAAACATGAGTGTTGCGAAAGTTATTCACCCCATTACGCGTGAACGTAGATTCGTCTGTCACCAATATGCACTTCAAAAAGTCCGGATTATTGTCATGTTGATGCAACAACCACTCACAAAACCGCACTCTTGCTGGAAAATCGTCAGGTTGAAGGGCTTGTACACGTTGGACGTGAAACGGATACAGCCCCTCTTCACGCAGCGTTTGCCACACTTTAGTTTTTGATACTTGCACTTCTCTAGTGCTTGTTGAGGGATTCTCGTCTACGCGATTCAGTAGTTCTTCCTCAACTTGCACCATTCGTGGTTGTCTAGGCCTCCCACTGTGCCTACCTCGAAATTCCTCCAAATGGCCCGTATCCCTGACTCTCTGGACCAGGTACACAAATCTGCGGGGCCTTGGATGATGTTGTCTAGGGAAACGATCTGCATACACTCGCGACGATTCTGTAGAATTTTGAAGACATTCGCCATAAATTAACAACATATCAACGAGTGCATTATTGGTGTATGAGTGTGCCATTATTCTTTTTTTTTGAAACGATTATACGGGTTCGTTACCTCTATACGCGTGACCTTTTACCGTCGGTTGAAGGTTGCATACTGACCTGACACACTGACCCCGACCCCCGACCCAGTTCTGTCGTCGGGTTCAGCTAGTAGCCGGTACCAGTCTGGGATATCGCGGCGGGTCGCGGCTACAGGACGGTATTCAGATATATTTGATGTTGCAGAGCCCTTTATCTCGGTTCCCTTAAGACATTGGTGTATATGGTAATAAGAAAAATTGCTTATGTTTTCAAGCTCTACACGTCGTGTAAAGGAAAACCCCAACTTTGCGGACACCCTGTATATATAATTTAGTAACACCACAAAATACAAAACTGCAAAGTATACAAAAGTTTATACAAAACAGAATTTCTAAAAAATACATTTTAACAAAATAACATTAAGGTAACCCATAAGGATAGCAATTATCGTCGGAGGCCATACCGTCCTTTGCATTAAATTTATTTGTTTTCGAGTTAGGCCGATAAAGCAACAGAAAATAGTTTGAAAAATTCATTATCAACCATTCGTATGAATCAACACGGTCATTCCAAGACGTTCACAGTATTTCATTATGTTGGAGGTTTTGAGCTTAATTACAAAGGGTACCATAATATGACTTAACAAACGGACGCAGGAGTCTGCATGTTGAGACATGTCCATGAGCGCATAGTAGCCGCCAGCAGCACGTCTGTTAATTTAGTTGTGCATTCGTATTGGCAGTGTAAAGTGTCTAAAGCTGTATTGCAAAACTTTAATAGTACTTTTGTATATTATCAAAGAACTCGACATGCTGACAAGCTGATCGAGGATCTCAGAATCATGTGACACGAAAAATGAATAATTCGATCAAATTAAATCTCAAAAGATACTGCCTACCATTTTCTTGAAGAAGATAAGCCTAACGAATTCTCAAAAGCTATATGAGTCTTATCCAACAACTAATAGATAAAGTGTCTACTATAACAATGAGATGGATTAAAGTAGAGCTCTGACAAATACATCATTAGGTAGCCCGCAAAGCTGAGCTTGCATTGCCAGTAATGCAGCTGAGTCCGTGATTATCAATTGGTCAATGTTTGTCAGAGCATTAATTCACACTACTGAACTTGAGCGGTAATTACACAACTAAAGGGTGTTTCAATAAGCACGCAATATTTCAAGGTTCTATTGAACATGGTATATCGTAACAAACAACTGAAATATTTATTGGATTATGGTGCATATACTTCGGAATTATGTATGAAACAACACACTCTTTTAATAAAATTTGTGGTAACATTTTTGAACACATGTCGTGGTATCTCGTCGATAAAGCGTCTGAATTCAGCTTTCAAATCTTCGGTGGTTACAGACTTATTGGCACAAACTTGTCACTTCAGATAACCCCAAAGCCAAAAGTCCAACGGTGTTAAATCGCAAGAGCGTGCCGGCCAATTCTGGTCACCAAAGCAGTATGGCATGTGGCACCATCCTGCTGAAACCATATGTCATTAAGAGCCATGACTTTTAATTGTGGCACAAAAAAACTGAGTAATCATTGCACGATAACGTTCGCCATTGACTGCCTCGTCTTAAAAAAAAACGGTCCAGTAATTCCTCCAGACCATAGCGCACACCAAACAGTGACACGTTTTGGATGCATAGCTTTCTCATGAGTTTACTCTTGGATTCTCTGTGCCTCAAATGCGGCAGTTTTGTCTGTTGACGAAGCCAGCGAGATGCAAATGGGCCTCATCGCTAAAAATGATTTTGTCTACAAAATCACCATCCACATACTGTTGGCCAAAGATCCAATTGCTAAACTCTCTTCTGTTGGCATAAGCTGTTGAGTCAATTGGACTTTGTAGGCATGCAGGTGTAAATATTTCGTTAAATACGCTGATGGGTGGCTGTTTTAATGTCCAATGCTTGAGCGCGATGACGAATCGACGTCCCTGGACTCTCGGCGAACTGCTTTGACATTTTCTTCTGAACGACCGCTGCTAGCTCGTCTCGTATGTTCCACATCATTAACAGAACCAGTACTTTGATTCTTGGATTATTCTTTTCACAGTGGATGGGGCAGGAACATTATTTCCACCGAATATTAGCTGCACTTTTCGAATCGTGGCAATTAAACTTTCACCACTTTGGCAATCATTTTTAACAATTTGGATACGCTGTTTTTTTTTTTTTTTTTTTTTTTATACTCCAACTACCACGAAGGCCTAAGGCCTAAGCACCCATTGGGTACCGTGGGGCTATGGGGGATACATGGGAAAGGGGGCTGTTCTATTGTGTAATGATTCATTTCCATAAACTCCCGCCTGTCTACTATCGATCTGTCGTGTCACAATCATTATGACATTATGATGGCGCTAAATTCAAATATTGCGTTCTTATCGATACACCTTTTATGTGTCAAAATAGACGACTTATCTACACTTTTTAGTGGTGGTGGTTTTTAGTGGTTTGGAGAGAACCGAGAGACCATACTACTGATTGCTATTGTATTGGACCAAAATCGAAACATACTGTTAAGTATACTAAGAGTAACATATAAATCCGAACACCCAGTTTAAATGGTTTTATTTTAATAAAATTTTGTATAAGTACTTAATGAAGCATAATAAGTAAATGATAAAAATTTCAAAATGATTGCACTGCTTTAAAGCCCTTTGACCTTTAATAATGTGTGGATGCACCCTGATGTCCTACGCATTCTCCAACGCGCCTAGGCATGCTTCTGATCAGGTGATCAATGTCCTCCTGTGGTATCTCATTCCAGGCAACCACCAACTCCTCTCGAAGTGCTTCTAGAATCTGAGGAGGACGATGCAAATTGAGCAATCTCCTACCCATCATATCCCACACGTCCTCAATTGGGGATAAGTCGGGAGATCTTGGTGGCCATGGTAACAATGTGACATCATTATGTTGAAAGAAGTCTATTGTGACTCTTGCAACATGTGGTCGGGCATTAACTTGTTGGAAAGTTGGATCTGCCAGGGTGTCAAGATAGGGTAAAAGATGGGGTTCTAGAACTTCGTGGATATAACGCTGCGCGTTCATGTTACCTCTGATGAAGATTAAAGGTGACCTGGAACCATAAGCTATAGCACCACAAACCATAACTCCAACAGTGTGATGAACATGTCTTTGAACAAAAAACTGTGGATTCCTCCTTTCACCACGTCGCCTTCTAACCCTGGCACGACCATCGTGCATGCCTGAACAAAATCGAGACTCGTCACTAAAGACAATACTGTTCCATTCCTGATCCCAGAGTGACCGTTGTCTGCACCACTCAAGGCGATGACGTCGGTGTTCTCGAGTTAAAGGGAGGACCCAGTGTGGCCGGTATGAAAACAAGCCAAAACTTCTCATTCGTCGGTAAACACTTCGCATGCCAATAGGTCTTCCGTGTTCTGCAAACCATTCATTTGCAATGGACCTGGTAGTGGAGAAACGGTCCCTTAAGGCCAATAATCTTAGGCGGCGATCTTCACCGTCTGTTGTTCTACGGCGTCCAGTGCCCCTTGCTCTTTGCGTACGGCCTTCTCGAAGCCATGCCTGACAACACCTAACCACAGTGTCTACACTTCTTTGCACTCTAACTGCAATTGCCCGAAAAGAAAGTCCAGCTTCCCGAAGTCCCACTATACGGCCCCTATCAAACTCACTAAGTTGACGAAATCGTACAGGTCTCCGTACTCTAGGCATCGTAACCGATCGTAAAGGATGTCAAGAACCAAAATTCGCCAACGTTGATTCTTTACTGCGGCTGAAATATTCATTTAAGTCAGTCAATTAAAAAAAAGCAGTATAAAAACCGGAATGTCCAACTGATAAGGCTGAAAATTTTGTCACTTGTTATTTACAGTAAGATAAATATATTCACCAACTTTTATTAAAATAAAACCATTTAAACTGGGTGTTCGGATTTATATGTCACTTAGTATAGTAGTCTGTGGTCCCCCAGGCCTACAGTTCCTCATTGCAATTGGTTTTCTTATTTCGGGGATTCACCGGCGCAGCCTAACGGCGGCGTGGCGCGACGTAATTCGTAACAGCTGATCGCGACAGTTTAGTACAGAGTCGGACTCTAAATAAGGTATCTATTATTTAGTAGTATAATAGGTCGAACATTCTCAATTAATATTATGAACAAATATGATTTAAACAATGTTTTTCTAAGTTTTATTTGTTTAAAACATAAAATTGAAAAACAAAAAGAAACGTTTAAAACAAAAAAAAAACATGTTTTGTATAAAATAAAAAAATACTTATAATCTCCAGGCCGCAACGCGCAGCATCACCATTTGAGAAACCAGCTGCAGAATCCAGCCATCAACCCAGACAATCCGCTGCTGCCTTTGGGTCTATTTGTGCCCGAAGGCGTCACCATATTCCCGGTTACGGCTAGCGCAGACCACGTTCGGGACATCGCGATCGTCCACAACTTTTTCAGCAATCAGCTGTGGAAGCCCGAGTACATCGGCGCCTATTCATGAGGATGACCTTCAAAGAGGACACCTCGGAAAACACTACACCCGTACATCCTGTACTTAGTCCAATTAGTTACACATTTCTACCAACAGGTGGTTCGTCTACTTTGAGGATATGTTTATAGATTACTTAATGGCAAGGAGCTTGAGAGAGTAAGTTTATCTCGTATAATTGTGTTTTGGATCTGGGGCAGAGTTTCACGTTGCAAATAGCGCCACGAAAATTTGGCAATAATTGGTTCGGTTGTTTTTTCGCGGCGAAAATAAAGTGTGAAAATACCTAAAAAACGACTAAATGTCATCTTGCAGACTAGCTGGTTTGTAGTATGCAAATAGTTCATTCCACGTTTAGGCAACACGTACATCTACGAAACGAGTTCACAACAAGTGTGCTAAGTTAACATCTTGTAGAAAAACATACGTCATATCACAAAAAAAACTACGAAATGTCAAAAAAAAACGATAAAATGTCACTCTTCAAGATACATAACACCCGTGCCGGGATTGACAGTTCGATGCCTGAATGTTTAAAAATTATTAATTACGACAGAAAAACTGTGTTGATATTCAGACATCGCACTACCAGTCCTCGATCCTATCGAAATCTGTACGTGTGTGCAGCTTTATGGGATTCATACCAACTAAAACGTGCAGGATTTGATGTTATCTTACGAATTTTTGGATCATGTTGCTGAAGAAGCAGAATGTTTAATTCTTTCCAATGAGATCCTACCTGTGACGTAAGTTTGTATACAAATCAGGAATATCATCTCACTATAGTATCATCAACCAAAACAGAAAAATTATTTTTTTGCAATTGACGTTTTCTTCGAAGAAACTGCTTGTATTCCCCATACTACATTGTGGAATTCTGATAGCTGTAAAAAGTCTGTAATTTTACTTTTTGTGGTTTGGGTCATACAGCTTCAAAATACAATTTTAAAGAGATTCGACCATTGCCCACACGTAAACAGGTTCATATTCGTTCATATGATTGTATGAGACTCATCATTATATGGAGATCTAGTTCTGTACCTCAGAGCCCGACTAGGTTAAGTCCAAATAAGTAGTTTTGAGATAATTATATATGAAATATTTTTCTTGCATTGTATTGAATACGACTTGATATGAGTTAAAAAGTCGTAAATTCCTTATTATTAAAGATAGATGGACGCTGCATGTAGCAAATGAAAATTCACAATATTAACATGCGCTTAAAATATTAAACTCATTTTTGACAAAAATGGACTTAACCTAGTCTGGCTCTGGGGTACAGAGTTGTTTTGAAGATCCAAATATGGGCAATGAGAGGATATTAACTTCGATGATGATGATGCTAAATATCTTTTACAAACTAGCAGTGGAAGTGACCTTATTTCATCTTTTAACGTGTACGTACACACATGTCATTTATTAAATTTTCAGCAGAAACATGAATCTTGCATTTTACAGAAGATCATCGTGAAGTAACCTTATCAAGTTTACTATCAGGTCAGGCTTGACCAAAGTGGTCACTCCGAGACACTTTTAAAATTCGACTTACCAATGCTTCTACAAGTCTGCGAAAATTTCAGTGTCTTTGCATATTAGAATTATATGTCCAATGGGAAAGTTCACTTTTTTATTTAAGAAAAAAAAATACAAACTTAATGAAAAGAAAATATATATTACTATCAACATATTCGTAAATTCCGAAGGTTTTATTTCTTAAATATCATTCCGTCCAAAGGTTTGCCATCAATCCGAACACACTCTTCTAATCGCGCGCGCAAATCCTGAAACACTCTTGCAGAGTTCCAGAGTGATGTTTTATTTCTTGTCGAATGCTGTCTTTAAGCTCCCTCCAGTGTTCGTGGATTATCGGAATACACTTTTGACTTTAGATAACCCCACAAAAATAATCGCAGGGCCTGAGGTCGGGTGACCTAGGAGGCCAGTGAATGTCTCCAAACTTCGATATAACTTTTTGAGGAAAAAGTGCTTTCACTGTGTCCTATTCTCTGGAAGTACGGGCATTGGCCCCATCCTGTCCACTCTTAAAAGAAGCCTCGATAGCAAAAGCACGTTGCGCTCCGGTCCAACGTTCCAATGTGACTATTTAGCCCGCACGCCGAACGCTTTGATCACGACATCACTTCCTCGCGTATAGGGTTTCCGCGTAATTCAAATTTGAAATGTCCCACTGGACACCCTGTAGATGAAGCTGTTACGTTATAACATGAGTAAAAAAATTTTTTCAGGCTCTACAGTTGCCTTAAAGATGTTCCTAAGGTTATAAAAAGTGCCTTTTTGTGTGGTCCCAATGTAGTTACCATTTTTATGCATGTTTCTGCTGGAATAAAAACACTACATGGATGTAATGTCCTATGGGTCATAACAACGAGAAATATGTAACTCAAGGTATTTTGGATGATTGTACTTATCATGTAACACACTTAAACCACTTCATCTTGTAGCTTTAAATAATCTGTAAATTAATCTTCATACGGTGGATCAGTTTACCTTTTACGTATTATTTATAAATACTTAGATTTACACTTATTTGGGAGAAGCTTATATAGATATGTATATTTACTTATTGTTTGTTCGGTTAGATATTCTATACAGTTACACTAGTTTTAAATGTGTCTTTGTGATAGTCCGATAGTGAGGCATACTTTATAAACCGGCATACTTTAGATAGCGCAGTGCTTGGGTGTTGGGAATGGACAATGTAAAGCTCAATACTTGATGGCATGCTGCTAGAGGTAGCACAGGATTACCTATTTTGGTTCCGTTGCGTCTTGTAGAACTTCGGATTTCACTCTTTTTTCACTTGAAACTTATAGAGGGTAGTCTTATAGATTATTTTAAATCATTAAAAGTGTGTATGAAGCACGCTTTTCATGAAATTTTTCCCCATCATTTCCACCGCCATCTAG